GAACGTCCGCTGATAGATGCGATATCCAAGCTATTTGAAAGGCCCGTTAAACATGAATGAGCGGGGTGAGGAACTAAGTTTACTTACCATTGAGTTCTTGTTCTCCCAAAACACCCAATTTAGCAAATACAACTCGCCACTCAACATGAGCATCCCTCATGAACTGCACTGCGAAGGTCCAAAGTTGGGAAACGATATGAGCTTCTTTATCATCTGGCTGCGTCAGCCAAACAGCTATATCATGTGCTTCTCCTCTCTCATCGATGCTAGCTGCTAAGATCCAGTTGCCGCAGGCGGATATTCGATAACCGATATGAAGTAGCGTATGTCTATCAATGACGTCCTGGTCCGGGAGTGCATTTTGAACGACCAGAGATACCTTTCCAGGAAGTGGTCGTGCGATTGCAATGGCTGGTGCCTCGAAAGGCTTTCGGATCTGCTCCCCGCTGACGAAGAACTGTGGCGACATAAACCTATCAATTGGTCGGAGAATGCGATCGTAGACAGAGTGCACGAATTGTTCCATGTCACCCTTTTGGGTGGAGGGATTCTCAACTGCAGCCGTTACAAAAATTTCTGTCACAAATTGAAAGTAAATTGATTGGTCCCCACATGACTTGAGAGTTCGTTTGACGCCTGAGAAAATCTGTCGAAGAACTTGCGATGAAAGAGACATGATCGATGACGGAGTGATGATGTAGAAAACGATGTTGTGATTCTGAGAGGATATTGAGGGCATGAATGTTGCTGCACACCAGAAGATTAGCACGTTATTCTTTATGCGGAAACAAAGCTACTACGCACAAAGTGTCTTGCGAAATGATTCGAATTTTAAAGGAATTAGGCCGTCGGTATTGCATTGGTTGCTCTTCCCCGGTGTATGTAACCCGAACCCTTTCGCCTGCAAGCGATGTTCAAAGACAGGAGACGCAATTAAAGAGATAAACGCACAGTGTATGATGTGGAAACATTTCGAAGCCATCGTTCGATTTCCTTTTCCCTGTTTTCATCTTCACCTTCGAACAGGACAAATGCATTCACGTTCTTCGAACCACTGCGGGGTGAAAGACCAAGCTTGTCCCAGAAACGAACAGCGGATGGCAGAACTTGGATAGCTGCATTGGATCTTCCGACCGAGAGCAAAGGAGGTTTCAGAGGTGCCAACGGCGCCTCACTTGTTGTATCCATCTTTGATGTGCTTTGTCCAGAACAATTCACTAATAACGGTCAACGGAGGTCCACGTGAAAGCTGATCACTTACAAATACGAAGGGTTCCCTCAAGGTCCAGTAGGGTTTCTAATAAAGGGAGCTCTTGAAGTAAACTTGTTACGTGTTGTACGTCCAGATTCCAGCTTGTGTCATTCTTGCTGATGGAGTGCGCGGGTTCTGCAGTAGACATTTTCCACCCTTCCGCCCAAAGTCCATTGTCTACGATTTCTTTCCCAAGAATCTGAGCTGCGGCTTCAAGAGACTTTGATCTTTCACATGCCGCTCCTAGGGCAGCGGCCGGCGAAACTGGCGTCGGCACAGAGAGCGTTGCGGCTACCGGCGTGTCAACTACTTCGAAAATCCCTGGAGGTCGGAGATTGGAGCTCAACGGAAGAAGTTCCGAGTGCAGGAATCGTGTCGCCAGTAACGAAGGACCAAGTGGAAGATACGAGGGACTAGGAGTCGATGGTCGACTGATGACGGCGTCGTCTTCTTCGATCCATGGGTCGTCGTCGTCGTCCGACTCCGGCTCAGGGTTCATGTCGTCACTCTCAGAAGTCTTTGACCACTCATCATACTCACTGCTCCAGGAGGGGAAGCGAACATGTTCTCTCAGAGGTACGTCGTCGCTTTTCCTCTTGCACCCGATGAGTTTCCTTACCACGCCAACGCGAGGATCCGTGGCGGACGCGTATTTCTGTTGCCACCTCGTTGATTGTTGGAGATTGTCGGTGTTGATGGCGTCCATCGAGTCTGGTGGACTGGGCATGGCAAATTTACCGAGGACGTACTTTTCGTCAGCAAGTCGATGAATCTCCGCAAATGGAATGGAGGTGAATGCCTGGGCCATCGGTGATTCAAAGATTTCAGCTTCTGCCAAGAGATGAACAGCGGGGGTGGGGATATCGTCATTCGTTGACGTGGACTTTGCTGGCGAAGCTGGAACAAGCTCGGGGGCAGCCTGGATGTCACCCTCATGTGCATGGAAATTGATCAGTTTTGGAGTACCGCATCCTTCCGACAGTATCCCAGAGACCCATGGAGAGGCACCGATAGCCCCGGGTGTCGCTGAAGGTGGCCCAGGACCGCTGATATGAGCCATGTCACCATACGCCGGGGACGATAACCCAAACGGGGCGGGGCCTGCAGCAGGAGTCAGTCCCGTTGAGAGTTCTAAGGTGTCGTCGAGGCGCATCGTCTGCGTTGCAGGGGGGCGAGCAGGACCGTCAAAGAAACTAAAGTCGTCATCAGTGAAGACACCGAATCCGTCCATATCCACGTCCATTGGGTTTCCGCTTGGGATGCCATCAGGCATGGGAGCTGCAGTTACATTCATGTCGAAGTTCAGGTCCATGATGAAGTCTGCGTTTTGGCTCCAAGTGCTGTCAATGGGTCGGAACGCGTCGAACGTCGAACCGACTTGCGCCGGTATTTGCGAGGGTGCTGTTGCATTTCCGATTAAAGGCGGCGTCGTCTCAGATATGGGGAGTGAGTCTTCCAATTTGACTTTGAGATCCTCGGGTGGAGTGGCATAGGCAGACTGAGTCTCGGGTACTTGCAGCTGCGCAGTCTCCATATCGATTGGCAACTCAACGGCTGTCTGATTCTCGTTTGCTTTCGGTGGTGCCAATTCTGTCGATGATTGGGATAATGACGGGCCTGGGGTATGAAGAGTTTGAGCTTTCGGGGACTGGGCGATGGCGTCACGTTCTCTGCGGATTCGTTCCCGCTCTCGCTCCCGTTCCTTCGCAATGGCATCCACATATCCTCCAACATGGACAGCAACCTTACGGAGGTCACGCGGCTGTGAGTGGTTCGCGACAAGACTGTGGAATGATTTGATCGCCTCAGCTTTGGCAACGGCACGCCGTCGTGGAGGAGGGTCGGGAGGCAGTACATTTGGAAGGGGGATATCAGTTGTAGTTGGACTTGTGGTTGATGAAGGGGTTATGGCGGGAGAGGTCGCGGAAATCGCTGAAGCTGGTTCGGCTGGGTATCTCGCCTGCGGGTGCGAAGGAACGGGAGAAGATTGCAGAGCTGACGGCAGCTCAGGTATGTAAGGTAGCGGCACTCGACCGCAGGCACTAGTCCTCTCCGTGTCCGAAAGCAATGAAACGCAGAGACGACCTGGCCAAATTACGACAATACCCTTGTCTTCGCCTTGTTTGTTTTGCACGCTGACCCACGCCAGGACATATTGAGCGCTGCCCTTTGAATCATCCATCCAATCGCCGGCTCCGAGACCCTCCAAGCTCGACTTGAATTGCTCGGTTAAAGCCGTAGTCGGGCCAGAATAACAGCTCAGGTAATAGGCAGGCGTTGAGAAGGGTAGTAAGGTGATGGGTGTCCCCGCTATGAGCCGTGTCGAAGGATACAAGGGGTAAAATTGCGTTGGCCGTAAATGCGGTTGAACAAGGATGTGTTGGGGATACAAAGACACGGATAAATAACAATGTATGAGGGAACTAGGAAACGGTGTCAGTGGGAGGACACGGCGAATAGAAATCACCAACCGTGATCCACTGTGATGCCCCCATCCCGACGCCCATTCGCATTCACCTTTGAGGGGTCCCAACAGAAAGCCATTCCCAAGCCGCTTGGTTTCTCGGCTGCCTTTTGTTCTAGAAGCCTCGCAAATGTCATCGATTAAACGTTCCCGAACAGCGCTTAAAAACATCAGGTAAGGCAGTCTGAGAGGTTTGCGAGGAAGGAGTTGTGCGCGTGAGTTTCCGGTGGGGGTCGGTGATGGCTCATTTTTGACAGGTGTTGCGGGTTGAGATAAGGAGTCGCGACATGCAGGACATGGGTCTCGTAGGACCGAGCAATTTGGGGAACAGGGATACAAATCGTCGTAGTTGAAGTGCGAGATGGAAAGCGCTGTGGGTTTCGAGTCAGGACGGCAACGGAAGGGGCGTTGCCCAGAAGCAAATGTGCGCTCACCTGACAAATTTCTAAACTGCAGACGACTTAGGGACTCGACACAAGATTCCAATGATGCTTCGTCATCCGCAAACGAAAAGATCCATAGACTCAGGTCTTCCTTGGCTAGACACACGGCAGGTAGAACGCTGTGTAGAAGGGATAGATCGTTATTCTGCTTGAGTAAATTCCGCCGTGCTTCCTCCAAGTCTGAAATGGATTGCGAGGCTGAAACTGAATGATTTGGAGTGAAGTGTGCGAATGCGATGCGAGTATTATGTGCCAGAGATATTGCCGATGCAAGTAGTTTCGATGACCCCGAGATGACTGGAGGATGGTGGTTGCTGTCCGTGTTGGATAGAGGGGAGGTGGGCCCAGCTCGTCTGATGTTTCCTTTGGAGGTCATTGCGGAGGACGATGACGGCGACGCCGGCCACGGTGGCTGGTGTGCTTCCTAGGCGCTTTTGGGAATCAAAGTAGCATTGTCCCACGCCACCGTCGCGGTCGCGATCTCAAGTCCCAAACGACTTGCAACCGGAAATTTGCTGGAAATTGTTCAGCTTCAACTCGTCCACGTTCGCCTCTTCCACGCCAGCCAAGTTAATTCGCAGACAAAAGTTTTGGACTCTGATTCGAGCAGAATTTTTTTATGCATCGCACATTCGCAGATATCCTCGGCACATATCCTCTCAAAAACTTGGCAACGTTCCGTACGCTCGCAAAATGACAGCGGGATCAGGTTTCGATTGCCTCGAGCAGCCTGAGCCACTGCCGTCGGAGTTTAAAATAATGTGGCGCGAGTTACTTTTCGCGGAATTCGCGCGTTCGAGTCATCCTCGAGGCATCCGAATGCAAAAATGATAGCAAAAATTAGCGGAACCAGGTTTCGATCCTGGGGCCTCGGGGTTATGAGCCCCGCGCTCTTCCCCTGAGCTATTCCGCTCCCGAGAAGATACGATTCTAAACGCTATAAAACAAGAAGAAGACCGAAGGGAAACGAAGGGGAGTAGAAATTACAAAAGTTGCCACAGGTCACCGAAAAAGCGTATCCAAACACACCAACACACTCTAGTAAGTGCCGTGAACGCCTCTGAGTTTGTGACGAAGCTTGGTCCGTGCTAGGGAATTTCGTTCGAGGAGGGAGGAGCGGACTTGAGTTCATTGTGGCGGTGACAACGAAACACTACGTCAAGTGTTATCAGGGTGATCTAGTCATCCTAATGCGGCAATACTTACGTAATGTACCTCGGTATCCAGCCCGTGCCCGGTGAGGAGGAACTTATCGTT